AGCCCGGGTAAAGGAGGAGGGTTGGGCATAGGGTTAGCAACCCCATCCTGTGGAAAACTAACTCGCTAAAATAACACTAACCAAAAAAAATTTAAACATGAGTAGTCCCTGACCAAAATGAAATAACTAACTGTACAGTGAATTCTAGTTTTTAGTTATTGTCTAACTTAATCTTGTCAATGATGCAGAACTAAAAAAACATAGAAAACTCCAGAAAACTTACACACTACTAAGATGTACATAATTCCCTATTCTCCTTTGAAGTATGATGTAGGTAGTGATGATATTGTCCAGAACGTCAATGAAAGCTTCATAAGCGAACGCGTTATCTTAGAGAAAGTATCGCTGTCCAAATTAACCATCTGAACTAAATATGTATTTCATCATCCGAAGAATGAAATCTTTGAACTGTATGTCATTGAAAACTCTACCTTTAGGGAAACATCTGATTGTACATCAATGATACCTAAATTAATGTCGTATCTTATATATAATGAACTGTAAACTAAGCCGACTGACTATGTCATCAAGTAATTCAAAGCTTCTATTCACAAATTTTACAGGCCTTATGTTATGAATTAGATACCTGTAAGAAATCATGTACTTGTTTTGAGAAATTTGTTAACTATAATCTTAAAATTGCGTTCATATTAGTAGTAGAGAAATTTTACAATAGATAGTTAGCATTGAAATTTAGGAGACGCTTTTTATCCCATTTAGGATTCTTCATCTGGATGTCAGGACAGAGTGGGTTGAAGAATGCTGGTTGGCAGCCTATGCTTCATTGGAAGTAACAAGCATAAGTAAGTAAGTATCTGGATGTACCCGGATCTTAATGTTAGTGTTCACATTGTGACTCAAATCTGGTAATCTTCACTACAGATACGACAGAACCTAGGTATCAAATTTCACTATTAGACATAGTTCAACTATTCTAGAAAAAACACATAACAAACAAGCTATATCTAGGTAATATACACAAGATGCAAATACATGATAACAAAGATCGGTTAGATTTTAGTTCTATATATCAACAACGGGGTAACTTAAACCCCTTACAAATAGTGATATAACTCATCTCTAAACACTTGTCTTCTAATGTTCACTGTTGTAAGAATATTTCCCCTCAGAAAAGTCTCAATTTCAAAAGTTATATTATGTCTATACTGCCGGTCGAAGTTGAATTTAGAATGTGTATTGAATCATTTTACAAAATGTCAACTGAATTCATTATTGCTGATAGTTTTAATAATTCTTATTAGAACTCAAACTTAAATCTCATTTAAACATAATCTAGTTTATAGTAAAGTTGGATAGTGACTAGCATAGAAATCTAAAACAGGCATTTCACCCTATTTGAAACACGTCAGATAGATGTGTGCTACTGATGTTAATAGGTATAAGTAGTATGTATTATCCAGTACGCTTCAGCATACACAAGGGGAAAACCAAGGTCCTCAAATTCAAAACGGAGAACAGCAATCCAATCACTCTTGATGGCGAAACTCTGGAAGATGTAGAATCTTTCACATACCTGGGAAGCATCATCGATGAACAAGGAGGTTCAAATGCAGACGTAAAGGCAAGGGTTGGCATAGCAAGGGCCTCATTCCTACAATTGAAGAACGTATGGAACTCAAAATAACTTTCAACTAATATCAAAGTGAGAATCTTCAATACCAACGTCAAGGCAGTTCTACTGTATGGAGCTGAAACTTGGAGAACTACTACAAACATCATCAAGAAGGTACAAGTATTTATAAATAGTTGTCTACGAAAGATACTCAACATCCATTGGTCGGATGCCATCAGCAACAGACTTCTGTGGGAGAGAACAAACCAGCTTCCAGCTTAATTGGAAATCAGGAAAAGACGATGGAAATGGATAGGACATACATTACGCAAATCGTCAAAATGCATCACGAGACAAGCCCTAACTTGGAATCTTGAAGGGAAGCGGAAAAGAGGAAGACCAAAGAACACATTACGTCGGGAAATAAAAGCAGATATGGAAGGGATGAATAGTAACTGGAAAGGATTGCCCAGGACAGGGTTGGATGGAGAATGCTGGTGATCTGCCTATGCTTCTTTACGAGGAGTAACAGGCGTAAGTAAGTAAGTAAGCATGTATTATCAATCGAAAGTAAAATGCGTGTAGACAGAAGGTTAAGAAGATCGAAAAAAATAGAACGAGAACAGAGAATGATTGGTGTGAAAATGAAAGAACAACCAAGTTTGGGACAACTGATTGACATCTTGCAAATGAAATATCTACTGTATGGTTCTCAGATTTTACTAAGATGTTCTGTAATTTTGTGTTCAAATACATTTCATTGTCTCCACTTCTGTTCTCGTTCATTACAGATGCACCGATATCTTACTGTTGTTATTCATAATGAAATTAAAACCTTAACATATTTTACTTCAAACATCCAATGCTTCAATTCTATAAAGTCACTAACTTGTTTAAAAGATATACATACATGATATACATAATGGTTTCTTTTATTAGTGCTAACGATGCGCATATACCTTCCCCCCCCACACACACGCACACACTCCAAAAGCAACCTGACCAGTTGCAATCATTCACAATAAACATTAAGCATATTCATAGTTAAGGTCAAATCTTCAGATCAGTATAACTAAGATCATTCGAATCATTATGAAAAATAGAATTTTCCCCTACTAACATTACCCCTATTTTACATCAATTGTTATTATCAGTAGGTCATATATTCTATAACCCGAATTATTTGCTTCATTTTTATCATTTTTTTCTTCAAATGTTATTTTATAAGAGGGGAAAACAAAAACAAAAAAGGAAAGAAAGAAGAGAAAAGAAATAAAGAAAAGAGAAGTCAATTCGATTTGTCACAACTACCCTGTTATTCAATTTTATTTTTTCAACGACAACAATAAAACGTTTTAAATGTTTTCCAATGAATTTTTAAATATATTTTTTCCTTTTTTTTCTGTGTCGTTCTCTTCATTCTACGCTTGCATACACTTGGGAATGTTCTTTGATCTTATATTTGGGTCAAATCTTTAAGAGATAGAAAGAGAGGGGGTTAAGGTAGGGTGGGGGGAAGACAAACAATGTACATCAGTTAAATGCAAATAAATTAATAATGATAGGTAAATGGATAGATTGACTAAGTAGTTTAGTTAATAACCATATAGATAGGATGGTAGATAGGTAAAAGCTAGGTAGGTAAGTAGGTAGGCAGGTGGATAAGTCGAAAGATGGTTAATGAAATGAACAATTTGTAAGTTAAAAACTTCTTTTTTTCTGAGATTAAGAACTACAGAAAATGTATAACTGAATGTTCTGAATTTAGAGTATCGGAGAAATAAAGATATATTTTGTTAAGTTCACTTGATGTTGTTTTACTTGTATCTTCCTATTGTTATTTGGCACTGCAATTGATCAGTCTCTTGTTGGTACATCTAGCTGACGAGTCATGAATAGGACAAAACGCGTGTCCTGGATCCCATTGCTAGTTACTATCCATCTTTGCTTAAATTTTGTTGAGTTGTTTTTGGTCTTGGTAAAAGCGATCAAATGAACAACAGCACTATAATTCACGGTGTCAGATAAATTTTCATGGGAATCCAATCGAAATAGTTCAGTGATAAAGTCTCAGACTGTAAGTCTGAGCGATTTGGCTTCGAATCATATTGGGAGCATAGATCTCCACAAGATTGTTTTGCTTACCAACAAGTGACAACTAGTCCAGTACCCAGGTCCAGGGCTCTTTTTCTGAAAGCTCCATCCACATGAAATCAAAAAATAGTACAAGCAATGTCGAAAAACTTAGACTAGCGGTCAAATTTTAAACCAGAATAACACTTTATTATTTAGAGATTTGTGAGTACTTATGTTTGGGTAGTTGGAAGTAAACTTCAGGAAACTTCATTTTACATAGATTTCTAATTCGTCGGGGCTCACCATCGTTTTTTATCAACATTCTGGTCTAAAAGATGATGCTTCGCATAGGATTTATATCAGTAGCTTTGAACTTAATCTCTAGACCACTGAGCCAGGATCCAATGATGGTGATGTTTAATTTCGATCAATATACGATATTGCGCAATCACCTTCCATTGTCTTCAGTCGGTAACTGCCTCACACTGGACACGGTTAATCGGTTCATGACATCCAAAAAAATTAACAATCTAAACAACCGTTTACTGAAAATTATCATGTCGTCCTTAGTGACTAATTTTGAGGGATAATCCTTGGAGTACTAGTGAGAAACGGTGACATACGGGGTTCAATCTATGTCAAGAGTGAAATAGTTATCTACCTCAGGTAAAAAACAAAGTGTTAGGCAAGGTCGTGAATTTATTGAAGTTATACATTAGTACCGTAGGATCCCGACTCAGTGGTCTAGAGGTTAATCATTCGTGTAAGAGACCGAAGGTCCTGGGTTCGAGTTCTGTATGCGGAGTCGTGGATGCCACTGCCAAAAAGTCCAATACTAGGACGAAACGGTCGTCCAGGGCTTCCAGGTTTTCAATAATGGTCCAACATTTATTAGTTCATGATCGCAATTAAGAATAAACACACTCACTTACGACGAGGCTAAAATATCATTCGTTCAATACATTTATGTATAGCTGTGATTGTACCAACCTGAAGAGGTTAAAACTGAAATGAATTAGTTATCAAATGGCTCATAGTTCTTTAAAGGTGTTTTGGTTGATAACACTCAGTTTTTTCAAGAATAACATCGTCCATTTATAATCCACATTATCAGTTATCACTTGACTCTAAGAGGAATGACTAAAAATCATCATCACCACGGTGATTTACACAAAGTTTTATCTACATTAGATACACGTTTTCCTCAACTAAGTTAACATTTCTACATGAACAAAAAGATTCAGAAGTAGAATTCTTTGGAAAAGTTCATCATTTAACAGACACGGAAAATCAGTGAATAAATAAAAACTCACTTATATCCTTTGAACTAATTACATGTTAGGGTTAGGAATTACAGCTTTTCCTTAACATGATGATGATGATGATGATGATGATGATGATGATGATGATGATGATGATGATGATGATGATGATGATGATGATGATGATGATGATGATGATGATGATGATGATGATGATGATGATGATGATGATGATGATGATGATGATGATGATGATGATGATGATGATGATGATGATGATGATGATGATGATGATGATGATGATGATGATGATGATGATGATGATGATGATGATGATGATGATGATGATGATGATGATGATGATGATGATGATGATGATGATGATGATGATGATGATGATGATGATGATGATGATGATGATGATGATGATGATGATGATGATGATGATGATGATGATGATGATGATGATGATGATGATGATGATGATGATGATGATGATGATGATGATGATGATGATGATGATGATGATGATGATGATGATGATGATGATGATGATGATGATGATGATGATGATGATGATGATGATGATGATGATGATGATGATGATGATGATGATGATGATGATGATGATGATGATGATGATGATGATGATGATGATGATGATGATGATGATGATGATGATGATGATGATGATGATGATGATGATGATGATGATGATATGATGATGATGATGATGATGATGATGATGATGATGATGATGATGATGATGATGATGATGATGATGATGATGATGATGATGATGATGATGATGATGATGATGATGATGATGATGATGATGATGATGATGATGATGATGATGATGATGATGATGATGATGATGATGATGATGATGATGATGATGATGATGATGATGATGATGATGATGATGATGATGATGATGATGATGATGATGATGATGATGATGATGATGATGATGATGATGATGATGATGATGATGATGATGATGATGATGATGATGATATCACACATATACTGGGAACGGTAAATATCATGATATGACATTTCTAAGTCATTAATTTTATGTATGATTTAACGTTTTGATAGCCCATCCTATATTCCAAAATAAGGTATAGTTGAAGATTCTAGAGAAGTAAACTGAACTGAATGATTTGGTTTTACATAATACCACTGATCTCTCATTTACTATCAACAACCTATGATTATATCAGACTTGTGATAATACACAGTATGTATGATTCGTTGTAAAGTGTTAAATACATCGAATAAAAAATACTTCTGAAAGAGGCATTACTTAGCGCAATATTAGTGTGAGGGTCGTTCAGTTGGTAGTCTTCAGTTAAGTAACCATTGAAAACCAGGTTGCATTGGGCAACTGTTATGTTTCAGTATTGGATTATTCATTAGTACACACCCACGATGGTATCAAGTCTCCGAACCCTAACCAATAGAGTTCAACCATTGTCATTAAAAACATTGAGTGAAAACGATAAAATATCATAATATTACTAAAGTTAGGAATGTGAATGCAAATCCATGTAGTGCAACCATAATATCGACGTAGAAAGAATTGACAATTTTATTATATTCAATAATTATTGCAATGCTTAGAGTATTACTATGAACAAGCTACACTGTAATTCAATATAGCTGTGTTTATCCATACTTGGAACTTATCAACTGATTATATCCACGAATCTAAGATATATAAATCATACTATATGAAAGCTACCATTTACATACAAATGATTTGTGCTTTCAAATGTAATCATTTCATATTATAAAACTGGGTTCAATATCAATAAAATCTATTAGTCAATAACGTGGCTGCGCACTGCTGAAGTGTCTCACAAGAGGACGAAACGATCAGCCGTTCAATGCTCCCGGGTTTTGGATGGTGGTCTAGCTTCAATCGACTCATGATCTCAAATATTAAATTTACTATAATATCCACAAAAACCTTTTATGATATTAATCAAAATAGGCTCACTAGTGACTGGCTTCAAGAGGTATTTCCTGAAGTTCTGTTAAGAAGCAGGGATTAGTGGAGTTCAACTGTGTCTATTGTGAGATGGTAACTGACTGAAGACAATGGTGGATGTCTTGCTCAATTTCGTGGATTGGTTGAAATTAGACATTAAAACTGTTGGATTCCGGTCGGCTCAGTAGTCTAGATGTTAAGCGCTCATACGCGAGACTAATAGTTTCTGAGTTCGAATCTTGCGAGGTGAGGTCGTGAATGCACATTCCTGACGAGTCTCACAATAGGATGAAACGTATATCCAATACTTCCAGGTTTTCTATGATGGTCTAGCTTCAATTAACGCATAATATCAATTATCGAAATGATGATAATATCCACAAAAACCCCTTCGGATACTAATATCTAACTATTGATTTTAGTTGATTCCAGTTGTGTCACAGCTTCGCATTACATGTTATTCATTATTTTTTTTTTAAATTCAATGTTCAAATATCAGTGACATTGCGTGTAATTAATTTGCTTTTCTTTTATTAGTAGGAAGGGTGTAAAATTTTAACACAATTTTTTATCAGTAAGAATGGTGTTACCCTCTCTCTGTGTGTGTCTCTCGCTCTCTCTCCCCCTCCCTCTCTTTCGCTTTCTCGCCCTGTCTCTCACTCTCTCTGTCTCCCTCCCAATTAACTCTTAGATTGTTAGAAATTAATGAATGAAACAAATATTGATTTAAATAAATAACGGAGAGATTTGTTTCGTTTTTTTTCTTCTTTTCTTCTTACGCTTCACTTGGTTCCTAGTCTCTAATTATAAAATAGGTTGTTGTGCCTATATATATGTATATATATATACAATGTACAACTAAACACACCTTAGGGGTTGTTTCAAAAATTGATTTTACTTATGCAAATTAATAGAAACTTATTAGTTAATTAACTGTCCTTTTGTCATAGATACTCACACACACACACACAATATATGTATACAAGCACCAATACTAGATGGATATACACATAAAAAATATTGCCCCCGAAATGATTTTCTTACAAAGCACAGTTCATTCATTCACTATTGGTATTCTAACTTATTTCAACTTCTATAGATAAATATTAAAGATGATAAAATCACAGGTTTTTGAAGTATTCAATGGTACTAATCAGTAAATCATTGAAAGTAACTGTCTATTAGCAGGATAACTTTTGAATATTGTCAAGGTCAGTTTTTATGATTACTTATTATACAATAGAGAGGGTTTTTGATAAATTATAAGGTAGTCCTTGACAGTTAGTTAGATAATTATTACATCATCACTAAATATAAGAATAAATATCTCCTGCTATTTGGAAGTTAGAACTACTTACTTACTCCTGTTACTCCTCGTGGAGGAGCACTCTCTATCTAAATCTGTCTTGGACAATCCCTTCCAGTTCTTTCCAGTTATTCATCCTTTTCACATCTGGTTTTACTTCCCGACGTAATGTGTTCTTCGGCCTTCCTCTTTTTAGTTTCCCTTCGGAATTACAAGTTAACGAATGCCTCGTGATGCAGTTTGATGATTCCCTCAATGTATGTCATATCAATTTCCATCGTCTTTTCCTAATTTTCTCTTCAACTGGAATCTTGTTTGTTCTCTCCCACGATAACTTGTTGCTGATGGTATCCGGTCAAAGGATGGAAATTAAAATATCTTCCCACAATCGTATTCACCACTGATTAATGAAAAAATATGGGAAGATGCTAGCCCTCTCACCATGTAGTTGTATACATGTGATTACCATAGGAAAACTCTTGAATTTATAATGTTTTGTAAGTAAAAATGGATGGTGACCAACAGTGAAATCCAGGATGTGTGTTCTATTTTATTTAGGACTCATCAACCGGATATACCTGCATCACAGAGTTGATATTCACTCTGAGACTCGAACCCAGTAACGTTCGCTTTAAATGACATTGTGTTATCCATAGTTTTGAAAAACCTTAAACCATGTCAAAATTAAGGCAGTTACTCAGTAACGATACCGAGTAATATTGAACTGAACTACAGATCGACTGAAGTTGGAAATATATGAACATACTAGTTAACAGATCGAAACATCCTACGTTGTATCCATGTTGATTGGGTTGAATGTATGTGTTGTTAAAATGTCTTGTACTAAAATAAAACAACTTCCTAACACTCCATGGTTTTCAGTTATAACTCAGCTTTAGATAATTCACTAAAAACTCGTATATATAGAATATTGTATGTGTTCTGTACAGTTTATTATTTAACAATAATGATAAACACAACTGAAGATACCATGAACCAAGTCTTCTATATAAATTGATTATATAAAATTCTGTTACAAATGGCATAATTTGGATTGAACACGTTTTAATCAATAAACTCATCTAGGTAATAATTGTGACATCATGGATTTTGCCATCAGAGAAGCGGAAAAATGAAAACAACACACCAATGAATACCACTAGATGAGTTTAAATCTAAAAAGTTCTGATCATTAAACGTTATGTTCACTGACCAATTCCAAAATCATAGGTGGTTTCTTTTGAAGACATGCACATTAGAGTGAAACAAAAATCCAGTGTTTACTGATATTAGGAAAAGACTTTGGAAGCGGATAAGATATATATTACAAAAACCATCAAATTGCATCACAAAGCAATCACTAACTTCAAATCCTAAAGGGAAACTAAGAAGAGGAAAACTAAAGAACACATTTCACCAAGAATTAGAAGTAGACATGAATAGGATGAATAGCAACTAAAAACACTTGGAAAGGATTACCCAGGACAGAGTTCGATGTAGAATACTGATTGGCAGCCTATGCTCTTCGACGAAGGGTAACAGAAGTAAGTAAGTAATTTTAGTGCATATTACTATTCAATATGTTTATAACATACAATTTTACCAGTCATATCATAACACAATAAATTATTTTATTTTATTTTTAATAAATAAATTCCCTATAGGGTAATTAATTTAATTCAGATTTTCACCTATGGAAATAATCATTCAACCATTCCCATTATTGCGTGTTATTATTTGAATAAATAAAAAATAATCCTATTCCGTGTATACCACTGTTGTTTTAGCACTCCCCCTCTCTTCCTCTCACCCCTCTCTCTTTAACTCGCGTTAGAAATGATCAGGATTTTTCCAATGAGTTAATTAGATCTAATTATCTTCTTTTTTTTAAAATATTATTCATTACAATTTCTACTTTCAATAGAAAATATGAACACGTGTACACGCACATATTACTAACACCTATTGCATACAAGATAACACTGAACTCATTGTTATGTATCCATGATACGGATCAAATTTAATTGGGGTTAGTTTTTTTTGTTGTTGATAGATAATTCATTGAATGATGTAATTATGAGTAGTATATTCTATCTACTATGCATATATAGGTATATGTATGTAGTTTGTTTTTAAGGTGACAACAAAATAAATGAGAGTCAATTCGTTGATTTATTAGTTTGAGGGCCTGTTGAGTGAATAATATAGACCACTCCCATTTTAACCTTTCCCTCCCTATGTATATATAATACTCATAGACAAGTTAATAATTCATGTGTGAATTAATTCCAGACTATTCTCTATAGTCACATATTATGACTTAGAAAATTTTTCGCTTAAATTACTCTAAATCCATGCTGATAGTATTTAAGGTTAACTATATCCAGCCCTAGGATAATGTAAATTCAAAGCAGTATGTTTAGTAACCTAACAACAACACACAATGAAATATATTGATATCTTAGAGTATGATTACCCTTCATGGAGGAAGACACGCCGCCCATCAGCATTCTTCATCCTGGTTAATCTGGTTGTTAATCATCCTTTACATATCTGCTTCCATTTTCCGACCTAGTGTGTTCTTCGGCATTTCTCCTTTCCGTTTCCCTTGAGAATTCCAAGTTACCGTTTGCTGTTTGATGGTTTCTTTAATGTATGCCTTATCCGCTTCCAGAGTCTTTTCCTAATTTCCTCTTCAGATAGAAGCTTCTTTGTTCTTTCCCACTGAAGGCTGTTGCTGATGATATCCGGTCAACGGATAGTGAGCATCTTACGTAGACAATTGTTGGTAAATACTTTTATCTTTTTGATGATAACTGTAGTAGTTCTCCAAATTTCAGCTCCATACAGTAGAACTGTCTTGACTTTCGTATTGAAGATTCTCACTTTGATATTGGTTGACACTTGTCTTGATTTCCATATGTTTTTCAGTTGTGGGAATGCTGTCCTCGCCTTTACGTCTGCATCAGATCCTCCACTCTCATCGATGATGCTGCACAGAAAAGTGAAAGTTTCCACTTTTTCCAGAACTTCTCCATCAAATGTAATTGGGTTGATATTTTCCGTGTTGTATTTAAGGGGCTTTCCTTTTTCTTTGTGTATGTAGAGTCCTACTGATACAGAGGCTTCTGCTACACTACTTGTCTTCATTTGTATTTGTTGGTGTGTATGAGATAGAAGTGTCAGATCACTTGCAAAGCTCAAATCTTCTTGATAGCTTAACACTAAATCTTAATGTAGATTTAGTTTGTGAGTATGAAAATAATCTGTATAACTAAAACAAACATGATAGAATTACCGGCAATTTCTATTTTTGAATGGTAGATTTGTAAGGTGTTCAAAAGTAATCAGTAGGAATTTCCACTTGACTAAACCTTCATATTAGTTAATACTTGTCAGTATAGACTGTTTCTGGTATTAAAGAAACTGATTCACCTTATAATGTTTGAACCATTGGCATAACTTTTTACTGTTATAAACATGTTATCAGTGGACTATTCAGAAATATGACTAACCTCCTACAAGACTGAAACCTTTATACTGATAAATCACTGACTATAACAAAGATTTATGTGGGTTCGAATCATACAGGGAATATCAATCTTTCGAAGATAACAGAGTCGACTTACTGACGAGTTAAAACTATCACGAAAATTAAGTTTGAGGCCTCTTCAACCTCCACCTAACCATTTAAAACAAACCAACAACAACAAAAACTTAGCTGTATTGAATCACTTAGAATTGTGATCGCATTATTACTTAATCGATGAAATTCTAAAAACATCAACAAGGATTAGACAAACGTAACAATAGTCACTAGTCAATAACCAGTTAGCTTGAAGTAAGAATACATTCTCATTATAGACAAACAATTGCAAATATATATAATTCATTTGAATAGATCTAACCTATTCATCTAGGAGACTATGATAGAGGAAAGTTTTAAATTGACACGTTTCGTGTGATTAAAATGTTGAATTGCCTCCTGATTAATGGATTATGCTCAATTAAATAACTTGGTTAATGTATATTTAGTGATGAAACAGAATTTATTGATGCATATCACTTTTTAAATGGACTGATATTATTAAAATAGGATAACTAATTAAGAACGCAAGATCTCTTCTTTTCTAGTTCTTACACGCTATATAAGATGTAACACTGATGAAATAGTATAAGAAATTAATAACATTGAAAGTGAATTCTATCATTAAAATGGTTGAATTTATGAGGAATTTATTTTGTTCAAGAGGATGTAACAACACTTGCACAATTGATGAACAATTTGTCTATCAGTAGTTGATATTATTCATAAGATGGTGATCGATAGAATCCGTTCTTCATTAAGAAGGATCTGACATATATGACATTGATCAACACCCATTAATCAATCAATTATAAATACATCTCACTCCTATAAGAGGTCAGTCGCGGCCTGGAGAGCTGATTGGTTACGTCTCTGACTGTGAAGCTGGGTGACACAGAATCGAGTCCGTCAAGGAGCATCAGTTCCCCTAAGATTACCGGGATACCTTGCTGACAAGTGGCAATTAACACGAAACCTAGGTCCAGAGTTTCCTGTTGACTACCTCCAACCACCATCTAGTGTCAACATAGTGCACACATTGTCAAGTCACCTAGACTGGTGGCCACATTGCAACTTGGTTGATAGGATTCAATCTGCACTAAAAAGGACCTGATATCCATGACATTGGTCATCACCCATTGATCAATCAATTGTAAATGAGCTAATACTATTTAAAACTAGGGAAGATTAGACAGGTATTTCATCTTTATCTGAGATTAGTAAAAAGTATGCACCAGTAACATAGTACTTTGAATTATAATCAAATTACTATAAATTGCTAATTCTAACATAATTTTATGAAATACAATGACATTCATGTAATGTAATTGATGATGATTATCTTATTAATGGCATGAGCGACTTTCAACTAGTCAAGACTTTCATGTAGAACTTTTCAAATTCATTTTAAAAGTTAAGAAGATTGTGGAAATTATAAGCAAAGATAGATAGTGGCTAGTAGTGGAATCCAGGACCCGTGTTTCGTCCTATTTAGGACTTGTCAGATGGATATACTTGCATCTCAGAGTTGATGTTCACTACGGGACTCGAACCCAATGCCGTTCGCTTCAAACGCCATCGAGTTATCCATTTAGCTACTGAGAGATGGCGTTTGAAGTGAATGGTACTGGGTTCAAGTCTTAGAGTGATCATCAACTCTGGGATGCAGGTACATCCAGTTGACGAGTCCTGAAATAGAACGTAACGAGAATTCTGGATTTCATTACTAGCCACTACCCATCTTTGCTTAGAATGCTTTTGAATCAAGGCAATATCGAGACACTAAGCACAGTATGTACATATGGTAATAAGAAACTTATCGATTGCGGTCCTAAAGATTAATGGGAAGATTCAAATAAACAATATCAAGTGATTGTGAGGACCTATTTGATTTTAAATTTGGAGACTTCTCAATAGTACAACGCTATGATCTCTCAAGTTTTATTATATGAGATTAGTACAATACTTTTAAACTACTGAATAATTTACATTTCCAATTAATTTGAAATTTAACAGTCTTTTAATACCCCTTTGTTTTAGTGTAAATGATACATGCAGTTTATATATTTCAATGTTTGTTTTTTAAGGAATCTAATAGATAAATAACCATTCTAGAATAAATTACTGATAGTGATATAGTAACATATAAGACTAATATATAACTCAGTCGTGTCTGTTGTGAGGCAATGACTCACTGAAGATCATAGTGAATAGTAGTGCAATATCGTGGATTGGTTAAAGTTAGACATTAATATTTTTGGATACCATATCAGTGGTTTAGAGGTTAAACGTTCACATACGAAACTGAAGTTCATGGGTTCTAGCTCCTTTAGTCCGAGACCGTGTATGCTCACTGACATTGAAGAGTTCCATACAAGGACAAAATAGCCATCTAATGCTTCCAGAGTTTTCATAAGTTGGTCTAACTTAAAGCGACTATTAAAAATCACTATAATCTCCACACCACACCCCTGATAGTTTTTGATAATTATCAGGAGGGGTTTGTGGAGGTTTTAGTAATTGCAATAGTTGAAATCATGAGTCAATCGAAGCTGAACCACCATGGAAAACCTAGAAGCACTGGACGGCCATTCCGTCCTAATTTGGGACTCCTGAACAGTGAGTATCCACGATCCCGCCCCACGCGATATTCGAACCCAGAACTCATCAATCTCAGTGGTCTAATGGTTAAGCACTCACGCGCGAGACTGACAGGTCCTCGGTTCGAATCTCGTTAGGTGAGACCATGGATGCTCATTTCTTAGGAGTCTCACAGTATTACTAAACGTCCATCCAGGTAATTACATGCAACAATCCTTAGATACAAATCTTGAACATGAATACATTACATCAAATGGATTATGTCATTCAGCTGTTCCTTTGAATAAAATCGATACAACGACGACGACAACAACAACTTCAACTACTACTAAGACAACATCGATTATGAACGATTGTTTAGTTTGAATCAATCCACTACATTCCCATATTCACAGTTTAATAATAATAATAATAATCTAAGTTATCGTAATCTATTAACATTGAATAATTCAACAGAACTGAATACTATTCAATCTTCTAGTATAAATCCGTATTCTCAATTACAACCTATGAATAAGTCAATGAAAGTTGATTATGCAATAGATTCATTAATGGATTTAAATTATGGTAAACTTTTTTTTATAACCTGTAATTAAAGTTTATATTGTTGTTCTATTCTGTAAGAAGTCTCATCAGCCATTTTGGTTTGGTGTGTGTGACGAAATCCTTTAGGGATCAGTTCAACTTGCCTTCAGCCACACTTCAGTTTCCCATGATCTCCAGTCGAATCGAATAGTAAATTGATGTAAGTTCTCCAACTCTTTACGAAGTTGGAAAAAAATATGGGAAATCTGAAGCGTGGAAGAGTAGCAGGCCCTGACATGTTTACTCGTGAGACCTTTAAGGATGGTGGTCCAGTATTAGCAGCGAGATTGACTGAGTTCTTAGGTAAAATTTGGAAACTAGACATAATCCAGTCTAACTGGTCTCAATCACTGATTGAGCCAATATATAAGAAAGGACAAAAATCCTCTTGTGACAATCACAGAGGAATAAGTTTGACTAATATAATGTTTAAAATATTAGCTTCAACAATACTTCGACGCCTAACCAAAGCTCGTGAATAACAGACTAGAGAAAATCAGGCTGGTTTTCGACCTGGTTGCGGTTGTATAGATCAGATATTCACACTATGTCGAAACCTATTTCACTAGGATTTGAACCGACAGTTGTATCTCTGTGTTAATGTGGTATGACAACTTGTTGTGATATACGTACGTACGAAGTTCTACGTTGTTGCTAACTGGTTGACTCTTTAAGAAATAAGTGATCACAGTTTATACTTGAATAATTAATAAGTTAAGAATAATATATGTAAATGACTTCAATTTAGTTGATATAATCGCAAAATAACTGTTATATAAAGTACAGATATAAGTGTATTTTGAGTAAATAGTTTAATCATAATGATCGCCTAGTTAACAATTAGAGTTCTAACATGTCTAGTAAGAGACAGGTATTACCAATGACTTTGTAATGTTCTATTACGGATTGACTGAATTAGTACAATTAACACTTTAGACCTTAATAAAACCTAGGATACGGATATGAGAACGCAATCATTAAATTGAATGTGAGATTATAATTTATGGATAAACCAATCAGGTATACGATAACAGGTTTCAGATTTTGGCTCGAAATTCACTCATCCATTTGATTAAATACCATATTAGCATTGTAGCTTATGTGAATTCGTGATGAAAACCCCTTAAATCTAATTTCTAACCTTAATCATCAACTGTAAACCATAATTCTAATTCGTCACACAAATTTCTAACCCTCATTTGATCCTGGTTATTAGGTGGACATTCTCAAGGTCAGTCTAACGTTACTCAAAAGTTGTCCATGAATTATAATCACACCGTTCTTGCTCTTTTCGAAATGATAAAGGGAACTATGTGTAAGAAATAAAAGGTATTTCTAGGGTTAGAAGTGACCTTTAAGTTCTAAAAGCTTCTAGAAAGTATGCCGAAATTAATAGTGATAATAATAGACAATTGAATAAGGGAAACATTTATACAAGCACTGATTGACCGGAAGTAGATTTAAAAAACTATAGATGTCTTTCAACACTAAGGCCAATTTACATTTTTCCATATATATTGAATTGTTATAATTTTATATGTATACAAACTTACACGTAAGTTATATTGATATTCATTTATTTAAACACATAAACATTGGTACAAGGAGGCACCAAATATATATGCACTACATAAATCATTCGATTTGTGTGAGGGATGGGATACTGCCCGGGTGCCCAAACCGAAACTGATGGTCTTCTTAGGGGTCCACAACCTGAGCCTTCGGCCTACATGTCTGATCCACAAGGCATTGGACCAGCGTAAGGAGATGCAGTCCCATGGTAACCGGTGACCAACAATAGGTTCATACACTATTTGTTTCCTAAGGATACTGGAGTCCATGTACAACATTGGTTTTGAATCAGGATTTTCCAAATCCCCTAGGTGGACTCTCCATGCCCATCAACCCGGTTCAAGCGCCGAACATTTGCTTTTTGTTCTCTTAATTTCGTAAAGAACATCCTCACCATAAGAAGGCAGTGAATAGGACTTCCCTGGTAGTAGCTGTATGCACAAGGTCTATTATACGATGTCAACTCCAGAATTCTTATTCAATAACTAAAGATATTTATCTACTACATATCAACAGTATCAAAACCTTTAATTCATTTACAGTTAAAGTTAACTCAATACTCAAGCGAACTTAACAGTTTTTTCAACTATTTGTATCCTTTAGTGAATTCAATATTAAACAGAATTACCGATTCAAGTAATTGAATAAATTCTTCTATCATTTTCTATAGAATCTGTCATTCATTCAAACGATAATTCAAAAGATCCAAATTTCTCATTGAAATATTCAAATAAATATGATAAGTAAGTTGAATCATCATTTTCTATTATGCAAATTCATTAGATTCATTTGGTGTTGTGGTTTTATTTGTATCTTCTCATTGTTATTTAGGACAACAATTCATTAGTCTCATGTTGGCATATGTACATCCTGTGAGGATTACCTCGATATAGCCTTAAGTCATAAGCTTTCTTTTGAACAAAGATAGATAGTGGATAACAGTGGTGGGATCCATTTTGACGTGTTTCGTCCCATTTGGGACTCATCAGCTGACTGTATCTGCATCTCCGAGTCGATGTCCACTTCGGGATTCGAACCCAGTACCGTCCGCTTGAAATACCATTGCATTATTCACAATTAGAAGATATAAGTAAGACAACACCCGATTGTACAACCAAGTGGCTATCAGGACTCAGTAGCTAAGTAGATAATGCGATGGCGTTTGAAGCGAACGGTACTGGGTTCGAGTCCCACAGTGAACCTCAACTCTAGGATGTGGGTGTGTCCAGTTGATTAGTCCCAAATAGGACAAAACTTTATTCCACTGCTAACTACTATCCATCTTTACATAAATTAATTAGATGTTATTTTATTTGTAGAAATAACTATTCGACGAACAAAATGGTCACACTTCAATAACCTTTTTTGTTTTGTTTAGACTTCTCAAGTATTTGATGAATTGAAAAAGGAAGGTCTAGTGTTATAAAATGAGATATATGTTAAGTTTATTGGGGGATGAAATGATTAGTTATTAAGGTGAGGTAAATTCCAGTTTCTGATTAGATTTTGTGCTGATTGACACTCATCAGTAAGGTATACAGTTAATCATAAGGGAGTTGATGGTCATGGAACGCAGAATCAAACAAACTTCAGTGATATAGCATGACTTTTACACAATATTGTTGTTGAGTATGATATCAGTGATCTAGAGGTGAAAATTCCGCTCTTGAGACTGATCATGGGTCCGATTCCCGGCTTCAGAGTTGTAAACGTGCACTGTCGAAGAGTTATGTACTAAGACGAAACTGCCTTTAGTGCTTCCAGATTTTTAATGGCTCTCTAATTCTGAATCGGTTCATAATATCGATAAAATATTGCAATATTCTTGTAATTGACATTCATTCATGATAAGAGTTATACACCTAATCCCCATAAATCATCCAGTGTAACGATTTGCCTCTTACATAGATATTTCGACAATTTTATATGGAAAATAACAGAACTTAATAAGTATGAGGATATAAATTTGTTAAGCGAGTATGTTATTATAGATCTTACTAGGACTAAAATGAAACTCATTTAGTTTTTAATATGGAATTCAAAACAACTGTCAATCAATATCAAAGTCAGAATCTTCAATATGAACGTCAAGATAGTTCTACTATACGGAGCTGAAACTTGGTGAACTAATACAACTATTATCGAGAAGGTGCAAGTATTTATACATAGTTGTCTACGCCGGACGCTATTAGCAACAGCCAAATGTGGGAAAGAACAAACCAGATCCCAACAGAGGAAGAAATTAGGAAGAAGCGCTGGAAGTGGATAGGACATACATTGAGGAAAGCACCCAACTGCGTCACAAGATAAGCCCTCACATGGAATCCTGAAGGTCAAAGGAAAAGAGGAAGACCAAAGAACACATTACGCCGGAAAATGGAGATAGACATGAGAAAAATGAACAAGAATTGTATGGAATTAATTAAGAAGGCGAAGGACAGAGTGGGTTAGAGAATGCTGGTCGGTGGCCTATGCTTCATTAGGAGTAACAGGCGTAAGTAAGTTGTCTACGCAAAATACTCAACATCCATTGGCCGTATACCATCAGCAACAGCCTACTATAGGAGAGAACAAACCAACTTCCAGCTGAGGTGGATATTAGGAAAAGACATTGGAAGTGGATAGGATATACATTACGCAAATCATCAAAGTTGATCACAAAGCAAGCTTTCACTTGGAATCATAAAAGGAAGAAGAAAAGAGGAAAGCCAAAGAACACATTACGTCGGGAAATAGAATCAGATATGAAAAGGATGAATAACAACTGGAAAGGATTACTCTGGACAGAGTTGGATGAAGAGTGCTGATGGTCGGTAAATGCTCCTCCACGAGGAGTAACAGGCGTAAGTAAGTTTTCAATAGATCGTTTAAACATATTAACAATTATATCACTTTCTTTTTTCATGTTAACATTTTTTATTTAACAGAATACCTACATCATCATTGAACTCTACAATAGATCCACTTCATATAACAAAAGATTCATTATATCCTCCTATAGATAGAAGAAATGATTGTGAATTCAATACTACTACTACTACTAATACATTACATCATTTATGGTTAGATAATGAATCTATTCAACAAGAGATTCATTCATCATATCCATGTTGTTCAACGTATTATTTAGGATTTTATTCAACAAATGATTATTTAACATCACAATTTACCGATACATTACAATATTATAATACAAAAACAAATTTAATTGATTATGATTATACTACTGAAATACAACAACAGAATAATAATTATTTTACAAATACATCCTATCTACAATATAATAATAATCAAAATAAAGAATCTATAAAATATTTGAATATAGATTCTTATAAAGTTCCTGAAATGATACATGAACATGATACCATTTCATCTGGAACCTCTAGTCAAATGAATGATCATCATCAACATCAGAATGATATATTCATGACTTCAAATGAATATACATAAGCCAATTACAACATTCATGATGGAACGACTATGTTGAAGATCAATCATCCCCAAGAGCAAGTAACATCTTACTCAAATGAATCATTACTTAATTTTAACATTCAGAATATCTATGTAGATAGTTCGTCAGTTAACTATAAAATATAGGACTAGGCACATCTATGCATGCATTGGTTGAATGATGTATGATTCTAACATTCAGGATGTCTATAATAGACATTTAATAACATGGATACTTTGAATATATCCATTTGAAAGCATCCATGTAGACAGTTAGTTACAACATAGGACCAGGTATATTTATACATCAATCTAAATATGTATGATTATCTTCATTTATTTTATTTTACTATCCTGTTCTTGTTTGTTTGTTTGTTTCGTCTTGTACAGAAAAGAAAACATAAGACACCCCCTTCTCATATATACACTTCATTGTACACAATGGAAATGTAACTGCTAACAGTTCGGTTTTCTTTTAAGAAAACAAACAAACAATCATTTGTTAATTTATAAAATTTTTATTTAGTTTATGATGTATATTACACTAAATACAATTTATTTATTATTTATTTACTTGAACACATAAATATTGGTACAAGGGGGAGCCACACAATCACAATGAGAATGGGAAGAGAGAAAAAAGAAGGTAAGGTGAGTATAAGAAAAAAAAGAACAATAACAACCATAGATTAGTGTATAGTAGTGAAATAATAAGAATAATAGTGGGGGAGACGAAAAGGTACAATCAGAAGAAATCTTTCAGTTAAGGAAGATACAACCACCTTTTATGAAGAAAGTAACATAAAGTTACAGCAGAATCGCCACTGGCTTCTATTCTGAGCCATATTTGATAACGTCTATAGCCACTGTGTTGTACCATCTCTCGGAACCCAACCAGGGAGTCGTGAAGGTCTAGCAGAAGCCAGTCCTTTGCAGCTTTCTTTCAATTCTCGTTCAATCATTAATCTTATGGTTTAGATAAAATGAAATCTTAGAAATATTAGTGAGGAACTGAGTTATTTAAGGTTTAGAATATGTCGAATATGAGATAGATATTGAAGGTAGCTAGTAGGAAACCCTGTATGATCGATATTTCAGGCTAGTTGGAAGGTATCAATAAACTGAAGAATGAATGAACTATTACATTAAATGGCTTTGTGAAGATTTTTTGTATAGTCGGGTCGTAAATATGTACAAAAGGGTCTACCTCAACAGCTTAAGAGCATTATACTCATCGCAAGACTTGATAGTTTTAAAAGTGATGTAGGGTTGTGGATAGTTAAAAGGTTTCAAGATGATATTTCATTGCTTTCAACTAGTTGATTGTTTGACGATCTTTAATTGAATGTTGAGTAGTCAAAGAGAGAACGAAAATAATTAATTCTGAATATATCATTATTTTCTACAAGTTAGACAAATCCAGGTCACGCATAGCGTGTACGACTGTAGGATTCATGTATCAATATTCACCACGTACACAAGCGATCGTAGTAATCTGAGGAAACTAATATTCGATGGGGTTTTGTGGAGATTGTAGTAATTTCAACTAGTTGAAATTACTACAATCTCCACAAAACCCCTTCTGATAATAATCACCTGCTCACTAGTGACTGACTTCAAGAGACACTCCTGGAGTTCTAGTGAGAAGCTACTACCAGTGGACTAATATTCCTTTATTTTCGTTGAAAATAGCTTAATTAGTACATTAAAATAAGTATCTAAAAGTAAATACATTAGTTAAGACGATAAAATTGCAGTTAATTACCACTCTGTAGTGCTATAAGTCTGAAGACCTTTCATGACTTCTGTTATAATCTCTTTCTTACAGTTATGACCCAGCTATTACTATTGCTTAGTATTCTCGGACACCGATTCACTCGACAAGTCCCCAAATCAGAACACGGTTGAACAGGAAAGAGATAATATTCCAAATAACAAGATTAGATGGAAGTTGAAATTACTACAATCTCCACAAAACCCCTTCTGATAATAATCACCTGCTCACTAGTGACTGACTTCAAGAGACACTCCTGGAGTTCTAGTGAGAAGCTACTACCAGTGGACTAATATTCCTTTATTTTCGTTGAAAATAGCTTAATTAGTACATTAAAATAAGTATCTAAAAGTAAATACATTAGTTAAGACGATAAAATTGCAGTTAATTACCACTCTGTAGTGCTATAAGTCTGAAGACCTTTCATGACTTCTGTTATAATCTCTTTCTTACAGTTATGACCCAGCTATTACTATTGCTTAGTATTCTCGGACACCGATTCACTCGACAAGTCCCCAAATCAGAACACGGTTGAACAGGAAAGAGATAATATTCCAAATAACAAGATTAGATGGAAGTAAGATGCCAGCAAGAAGCACAATAGGGAAAAACGTCACTATATTTATAGTTTTTTTACATGAGAAGATTCTAGAGTATTCTCCAACTATCGACTAGTGCTGATTGGATAAGAATGAGCTAATCAGCGTGCACCAAAGTAATCGTGCATTGAGCTTGCTTTAATCTAGTCTATGTCCCGCTAACAACTTCCTTATGACATGAACTAATAACCTCAATAAATTATGAATTTCAAGCATAACTTAAATCTTAAAAATCATTCGAAACCTAGTAAACATCAAATATTACTTCATTTCTGTGAAGCTTAATCTAAACTCCGCCTGGAGTCTCTCCGCGGGCTACTGCCGGTCCCAAGCCTGGATAAAGTAGAAGGGTTGGACATGGGGTTAGCGACTCCATCCCGTAAAATACCAACTCGCCGAAAAAACGCCAACCAGAAAAAAGTCTTATGTAAATTATAAACAAACTACGTAAATTTTAAGTGGAATTCTCATGCCAAATCATGATATTATTGATGCTCTAAGCTCTATTTAAAGCTACTAACCCCTCCTAGTTCTTCTGATTATGAAAGATTTTCTCAAGGCGACAGCTAAGAATCTAATAGATACTTCTTGGAATCTATCAACTTAAAAGATTCCGGTAACATTACCGATGGATTAGTGACGTATTGTTCTCTTGAATTGAGATTGAGTGTGCGGATTAAAATTTATTTATTTGAACACACAGATTGGTAGTAAGGGGCACTGAATACATATGCGCCACTTGATGTGTGGGCTGTGATACTGCCCGGGTGCTCGAAGCGAAGCAGGTGATTTTCTTAAGGGGCCACACTTGGAGCCTTCGACCTAAATGTCTGATCAACAAGGCAATGGAGCAACGTCAGGAGATGCAGTCCCATGGTAGCCGGTCACCAATAATTGGTCAATACTCCATTTATTGTTTCAGGTTCCTGGAGCCCATGTGCACCATTGATTTGGAATTAGGGTTTTCCAATTCCTCTAGGTGGAGTCTCCGTTTTCACCAACCTGATTAAAGCGCCCTTCGTCCCCTCAATTTTGTAAACAACACCCTCTCCACAAGAAAGCACTGAGTAGGACTTCTCTGGCAGTGGTTGCATACGCCTGGTAATGTGAGAGCATTTGGATAGGTAGAGCTAACTCTCCCCATTCTCGGCCATACCAGGGCATTCTTCCAAGTCAACCGATGTAGGCCCCAATCTTGCAACATTAATCTTTTGTAATTTGTGTTTGATTTACACAGAAAACGACCGAACTTATGTTTAATGCCTCTGAACCTAACTGAAAACACTTGATTTAAAGTCTAACTAGTTGTTTGCTTCAGTTTCAAACTAATTAGATAAAATACTTAGTCTCACTTAAAATATTTGTAGCTTGCAACAAAATATACTTAATGAATCATCTCAATTTATAACACATGATAACAACCTCAAAAGATTAATAATTTCAAATAAATTGAGCATTGGGTTCATTGTTATAAATAAAAATAAAATATTTGTAATATCCCAATGAGTAGAAAATTAGATTTTCTGACGTTTCGTGACTTAGTGTAAGTCACTTCTTCATAGTAAATAAATAACCAAATTAAAATTAATCCAAATTGAAATAGTACAACGGAACAATGCAAGAATAATATTGGATCAATCAAATACAGGTCTGAACAAGTTGATGTCTTGTCATTTCTGTCAAGGTGATTCATAAGTGATATGTATGTAAATTTGTGTGTATGTATATGTGTATTGTTTAAGAATGAAAACTTGTGTGACCTTTATGGTAAGAAAGGATAAAGTTTAAATTTGTAATATGATAGTGTGAAATTGTAAATACGATCAGACTGAGTGGCTAGGATAGATGGTTCAAGTAGGATGTATAGTAAGACCTTCCTTTCTATTGAGAGAAGTAGGATTAAGCATTATATGGAACGCATCAGCTACCCTCCTTTCTTTGCAGTTGGAAAAGCCTTTTTGCAATATTTTGATATTTTTAAAATCAATTTGGTGGTTGTTGAAAATGGCATGAACTGCTATTGCCGATTTAATTTGAAGTTGGTTCAATTCTACAGGATTGTTAGGAGGTTTCTTTGTGTACCTAATATGTTCTTTGGCTCTAGTCAAGATTTCGCAGGATGACTCTCCAATATAATAGGCATCACAATCGATACAACCTAATTTGTAGACGCAGTTCTGTGTGGACATGAAAGGGATTTTTTCTTTCAGGCGAACTAAAGTATTTCGAAGTGTGTTCGTTGTTTTGTAATATACTTTAATTCTGTGGTGTTTTAAGATTCTTTGGATTTCTTCTGTTGTGCCATGACGGTATGGTAGAACTGCAGTACTAATCCATGACATTTCATTCGAATCATTATTATAATGTAATAAATTGTTTTGTTTTAATATGCTTCTAATAATCTTCATAGAAAAATTACTAAATTGCAAGATGCTGATTACATTCATTTGTTCTTTTTGTTTGTCTTCCTCTGATGTGATGATCTTGTTAGCTCTTCTAAAAAGATTTAAGGCTAGTGAGATCTTAGCACTGAAAGGAAGTCCATATAACGATTTGAGTGCGTCGGTTTTCGGTAAATGGATAGGTTTAGACTGTAGCGTGGCGTCGAGTGGAGATTGACTATGAAC